AAACCAATGTTACTGCAATAAACAAAAAATTAAAAAAAAAATAGAATGATTTCCAGATTTAAAAAAAAAAAAAATAGAATAATTACGACAATACGCTATAATAAAAGTTTCCATAGATCTTAGGAAAAAAAAAATTAAAATAAAATAAAATAGAAAAAAAAATAAATAAATAAACCAATGTTACTGCAATAAACAAAAAATTAAAAAATAAAAAAAATAAAACAAAAGTCAAGGCCATAAAAAAAAAAGGTGGAGAAACTGTTCTAGATTAGAAGAAACTAAAGAGACATAAAGCCAAATGCAATGTGACCCTTGATTTTTTTCTGATGTGAAATAGAGCAGCTATAAAACACATTCTTGGGGCAAGTGGGAAAAATTTGAATATGGACTGCATTTTAGATGGTATTATCGAATTAAATTCTTTTTCTTAGGTGTGTTAATCGTATTGCACTATGTAGGAGAATAACCTTACTCTTAGGAGAAGCATGCCATAGTACTCAAGGGTGAAGGTTATATATGAGCTTACTTTCAAATGATTCAGAAAATATGTAGGTAGATAGAAAGCAAATATGAACAAATGTTAATAATTATTCATCTAAGTGGAGGACATATAGAGTGTTCATTATACTATTCTTTCAACTTTTCTATATATTGAAATCTTTCAGATAAAAAGTTGGAAACAATAAAAAGAGAACTTGTCTAAGAACACACACACAGCTGGAACTTAAACTCAGGCCTATCATTCAGCCACCCACTATCTGAGTGCTTTCTCTGATGACAGATAGGATGCTAGGGGCACACAGGCCCTGCCCTCCTGGAGCTTGCACTCTAGCACAGAAGACAGACAACTGAATAAACCATTTTTTAAAGAATGTGTTCAGTGCAGGAAGGAAGTGTAGCCTGCTGTGGGAATCGCAGAGGGAGAACAATGCAGTCCAAGGGAAGACCTGCCAAGGAGGCGCCATTCAGACAGAATCTTATTCCTGAAAGGGAATCACATCGTGCAGAGGTCTTCACCTGCTTTACGGCAACAAACACTGTACATCAAGTGCACAAACAGGCACACATGCACACACATGGAATGTCAGTCTCACTCACCTTTGTTATGTGCAATGCACACAAATGTCTTCTATTCTATTCTAGTCCTTCCTACTTTTCTCTTTTACCCTTAGTGCTGGTTGCAACTCACTACAATAAATTTTATGACCCACTAGTGGTTTTTTACCTACATTTGAAAGTACTGCATTCTAGGACCCAGTGAAATTCAAAATGACTGGGAGAAGAGTGGCCACAGAGGGCTGGGGAAATCAGTGGGCAGAGCTGGGATGTGAGGGTCTTGTAGGATTTCATCCTGAGGGCTGTGAGGGCCTTTGGTGGGATTAAAACAGTCACATTTGAGTGCCAGTGCCAAAACTCACCTCCCTCCTCCTATCTCCCCCTTTGCCCAAAGACTCCTTTACCTCTTCAACCAGAGCCCAGAAAGTGCCTCTCACCTGGTGGGGCTGAAGGCTGTGTACAGGTATGGCTAGGGACTGCCAGGCCAGCCCCTCCTAGGACTGGAAATTTTAGAATGTGTGCATAAGTTTAGGTTATAGCCTCCTCTGGAAGCATTTTCGTATTTTTCCAGGTCTAGAGTAGAGGGACAGGCAAGAAAAGAGAGAACTGCCTGCTGGAAAAGGGGGTGGAGTGCCCCTGAGCTGGGGCTGGAGTCTAGAGTTCTGACTTCCTTCAGGCTCTGTGTGTCCTTGGTCCAGAGCTCCAAAGGGAAAACCCAAGTGGCCCAAACTATACTTTTACTGCATAACAGAACTAGGAAATGAGCAGGCCCCTGCTCCCACCAGTGTCAGCTACTGCCCTCAGGGAATCCACTCAATAGCTGGCTCCACCCCCAATGCAAGGGCTCCCTCCCACCACTCCTGCCATCTAGTCAAGGACATCCTCTCTCTCCTTTCACACAGGCCCTTGATGCTCTCCATACTCCCAGCCCAGCCCTCTTGCTAGCCTTCAATGACTAAGCCACCAGATCGTATGTGGTCTCTTTGTGTCCTTCTCTCAGCACCTGTGAAGAGTTGATATCCTCTATTGTATAGATTCTCAACCTTGGTTGCACATTAGAATTACCTGGGAATTTACAAAATCCCAATATCTAGGCCATACCCCACAGCAAATACATAGAATCTCAGAGACTGGCATGGCTGCATCAGTACTTCGAAAGTTCCCCAGGTGATTCCAATGTGCAACCTAATTGGGAATTCCTGCTTCACTGTGTCTTGTTGCAGCCAGGAACCATGAGGGGGACAGGGGGATGGGGTCACTATGGGTTCAGGTGACCAACCATCCTGGTATGCACAGGACTAAGCATTTTCTTGGATGTGAGACTTTCAATGCTAAGACTGAGAAAGTCCTGGCAAACTGGGGTGAGCTGGTCACCCTCGTGTTCACCTGACTGAGTTCTAAGAGCTCAGTGAACTAGTCTGTCCACTAGTAATACTTGTGCCCGAAGAACCAGAGCCCCACTTTAGTGCTTTGGGTACTGCTAGACAAACTCTTTCTCCCCTTTCTTGGCCTCTGCCCTTGGGGCCTGGCATGTGGCCCTGCACACTTACCTTGTCCTGGGCTGCCCTTCCCTGCAATGCTTCTCTGCCGGTAAGAACACTGCCCAGCCTTCACACCCAGCTTGTCAAACCCTGTCTCATCCCTGAAGCTTCTCAGACCCTACAGAAGGAAAGGGCCCTTTCTGTGGTATAAGGAGGGGGGAGGGGCTTGAGGAGGGTCACATGCCAAATGGAGTAAGTGGGCACAGTAGCTCAGAGCTCAGACATCACCTCACAGAGTGTAAGTCCATACTCAGGACATCCAGAGAGCAACGTGACCCTTATTAATGTCAGTAATCACCTATAGGGATGGTGGAGGAAGGAAGGTGGAGGAGTGCAGAGAGGAGAGTTGAGACAAACAAGACGACTTTGGTTTCCAGTAAACAGACTCATCCCACAGCCATCCACTGAACACCTACTGTGTGTACAGCACCAGACCAGGCACAGAGGCCACAGGAGAGAGGCAACTTTCAGTTTCAAGAGCCCATGATGTAAGTATAATTTTCACTGATTTTTTTAGATAATCACAAATCCAGACTAACTGGAGGAAAAATAATCTGTTTTTTTCAGATCAAAAATAAGCATTTACAGGGCCGGCCCCATGGCATAGTGGTTAAGTCTGGCACGCTCCACCTCAGTGGCCCAGGTTCGCAGGTGCAGATCCCAGGTGCAGACCTACACCACTCATCAAGCCATGCTATGGCAGCGACCCACACACAAAAGAGAGGAAGATTGGCACAGATGTTAGCTCAGGGCTAATATTCCTCAAGCAAAAAAAAGAGGAAGATTGGCAACAGATGTTAGCTCAGAGCAAATCTTCCTCACCAAAAAAAGAATTAAAAAAGCATTTACAACAAAATAGGTACTTCTCTCAGATACCTAGAATAAATCTAACAACATACTACCTAGTAGAGGTACTTTTGGAACTTCTTTTAGTGATTAAAATATTCATGGTAAATGGGTGCTCAAAAGTTTTCTTTTTTTTAATCTTATCAATCAATTAGGTATCACACTATTCAACTGCTTTGCAAAATTTTTCCTCGACAATCACATGGTAGTGAAGCTCTGCCTCAGGTTATGATGGAGTTTTTGTTATAGTGGAGTTTGAACAGTAGCTTTTTCTGATAAGAAATCTTGAAAATTATTATTGAGGTTCTTTTTTAAAAAATAGCCAGAAGTTAACAACTTCTTTCTACCTAAACTTGAAATAAATGTGTATTTGTCATAAGGATAGTAAGCATGTGTCTCACTAGGATTCAGTCTGAGAAGCAGGGCCGGGAGGAGATACACACACACACACACACGCACGTGCACGCACACACACACACACACACACCCCTGGCCCAGCGAGGGCAAAGGAGGATCCAGGGGAAAATAGAGCAGTTGCAGGCCCAGCTGCTGCTTCAGGCCAGTGAGGTGAGTCAGATCAGCAACAACGCGTGTGAGCTACAAAACAGCTGCTTGTATTCTGCCTCCAAATCTCCCAAGAATCTCCTTGTAGCCCACTGGAACTGAAACATACCAGGAAGGGAATTCTGGCAAATGCAGTTCAGTCTACCCAAGTCGACACATAAAGCCATGATTTGTCATGCTGAGAAATTATTTGGCTTACAAAATCTGCCCATTTATTAAGTGCATTTATGTCATATAAAACAAAAAAAGATTCAGTAGTCTGCAGGACACTGAGGAGCGAAATATTGGCCCAAGAAGACCCAAGAGACACTTCCATCTACAGTTACAACAAACAGGACAGATGGCAGAAGGAAAGCTATTGGGTTCAAAGGTCATCCTACAGCTTTCCTGATCTATGAGTCTGAATCCAGAATTCCCTGATTGTTTCTTCCCTAGAATGGACCTAACTCATTCCATTTTCAGAGAATGACTATGGAGATTTGAAAAGCAAAGCACAGAATCCCCCCCCCTTTTTTTTTTTTTTTGTGAGGAAGATCATCCCTGAGTTAACATCCATGCCAATCCTCCTCTTTTTGCTGAGGAAGACCGGCTCTGAGCTAACATCTATTGCCAATCCTTCTCCTTTTTTTCCCTTTTTCTCCCCAAAGCCCCAGTAGATAGCTGCATGTGATAGCTGCACATCCTTCTAGTTGCTGTATGTGGGACACCACCTCAGCATAGCCAGACAAGCAGTGCATCGGTGCACGCCCGAGATCCGAACCTGGGCCGTCAGTAGTGGAGCACACACACTTAACCACTAAGCCACAGGGCCGGCCCCCAGAATCTGCCTTTGATGTAGATCCTCAGTATCAAATGAAAGAAGTGCTAAAGGTGCCACTTCAGTCATCACCTCTGCAGTGCTGCATCATGCCCCTTTCGTGTAGACTCTCTGACACACAGCGAGGCCTTCCCCGTAGCTATCATTCCCCCAAAGTGAACCTGCTGATGTTGAATAAGGCAGGAACTCTGTCTAAAGGTTTTCATACACTGAACACAGCCATGAGATTTGTCCACCATGTGGACTTTCAGGTCTTAATAAGAGTTGAACTAGGAATGACGGCCATCCACACTTACTATACCCAAAGGGTTTCTCCCCAGCGCAAGTTCTCTGGTGTTCAGGAAGAGCTGAGGTCTGACCAAAGGCTTTACCACCTTCATTTCATTCATGGCTTCTCCCTTATATGGATTCCCCGATGATTAATAAGGGATGAACTATACTTGAAGGTTTTCCCACATTCTTTACGTTCAGAGGGTTTGACTCCACTGTGAGTTTTCTGATGCTGAATAAGGTGGGAGTTCCGACTAAAGGCCTTCCCACATTCACTACATTCATAGGGTCTCTCTCCAGTGTGAATTCTATGATGTTTAATAAGGAATGAACTCCTACTAAAAGATTTCCCACACTCATTACAGTCATAAGGAGCCTCCCCTGTATGGACTCTCTGATGCTCAATAAGGTGCGAGTTACGACTGTAAGTTTTCCCACAGTCATTGCATTCATATGGTCTCTCTTTGGTGTGAACTCGCTGATGATCTATTAGATTCTAGCTCTGGCTGAAGGCCTTCCCACATGCAGTACATTCACAGGGTTTTTCCTGAGTGTGGATTCTCTGATGTCGAATAAGACTTGAGCTCCCACCAAAAGCTTTTCCACATTCATTACACTTATAAGGCATCTCTCCTGTATGAATTATCTGATGCTGGATGAGGTGTGAGCTGTGCCGGAAGGTCTTCCTACACTCACTACATTCATAGGGTTTCTCTTCAGTATGTATTCTTTGATGCTGCATAAGGTTTGAACTATGTCCAAAGGCTTTTCCACATTCATGACACTCATAAGGTTTCTCTTGTGTGTGGATTTTTTCATGCTGAGTAAGGTAAGAGTTCCGCTTGAATAATTTTCCACATATGTTACACATTGGAGATTTCTCTTCAATAAGAGTTTGTGGCTGTTGGATAAGGTTTGCGATATTACTGAAGTTTCGTCCGTATTCATAGGCTCCCTCACATTTGTTTTGTTCACATTCATCTCCTTCATGTAGTCGTATCCCTACTTCAAGAGTTTTCTGCTTTATAATTAAATGATCCTCAGTCTAGGTCTCACCATCTGACGAAAAATATAAAAAAGGTAAATGTAACAAGAAAAACTCCTGGGGGAAAACAGGATGATCAAAGAATTCCAAAAGTATTTCATTCAAAAAAGTATGAAAAATGGCCTTGCCATATAGGGAAAAGATCAATACAAGTTGAGCAGATTTGGAGAAAGTGGTGGGGAAGCTAAAGTTAGGATTTATATATGAAGGAGCTAACCAGATATATTGGGATTAGCAGAAAAGGAAAGCAGAGTTTGAGGGAAGTGGGATTATCTCAGAATGCAGGAAGGGTGATGTTGGGTGCTATGTGTGGGAGGGGCAGAGACTGAACAGGATAAGTAAAAGAAGAGAACCTCACCCCAGAGGTTCTGTCTACATGGTACCCTGGCCACATGGATTGTCTCTGCTGTAACAGGGAAGACTCCTTCACATGATCAGACACCAATACCTTCCTCACTCCTGTGGAGAGTCTCTCTCCTACACACAGATGCTCACATGCTCACTCATGAACACAGACACACTCATACCTCACATGTACCTTTATAAATAGTGCAAATTGGGAGGTTCTGATAAAGAAGGGGAGAGGGAAGAATAAAAGGAAAAGTTGTTTAAAATTTGAAGCATGGGGTAGAGAGAAATATTTCCAAATCTATTTCAACTCTCAGAGAATACATAAAAACAAATTCTGTACCCCAGCTGCGTCTAAGGGAAACATGATAGAAAAACATCTGTTTACATTAACACATTTCTCCTCTCTAAGTTGTACTTACTAGATATGGCTTACTGAAGCTAGAGGGGTTATTTTGCAGTGATGTTATAGAAAGTAGGCCCTCTGCTTAGAGGGAGCTTTCCGGAAGAAGGGGGTGCTGAGGAATACCCAATACATCATTTCCATCAGCAGTGAAAACCTGATATGTGCACAGCCCTGATTCTATTAGGAAATAGTCATTGCTTTTAAGGAATTTAATAATTATTTGTGATATCATCACAAAACCATATTTACGCTTGTTCTCCACCTCCAGATATGCCCTCATCTTCTGAACGTTCAATTTGGATATTGGGCGGTTTTTTTACAAATTTTTTTTCTTGTGACGAGAACTTTTAAGATCTACTCTCTTAGCAACTTTCAAATATATAACATAGTATTGTTAACTATAGTTTCCATGCTATACATTACAGCCCCAGGCTTATTTATTTTAGAACTGGAAATTTGTACCTTTTGACCAACTTCACCCATTTTACCCACCCTCCACCCCTCACCTCTGGCAACCACCAATCTGTTCTCTGTATCCATGAGTTCAGTTTTGGTTTTGTTTTTTTTTAGATTCCACATATAAGTGAGATCACACAGTACCTCTCTTTGTGTGTTTATTTCACTTAGCTTAATGCCCTCAAGGTCCATCCATGTTGTTGCACATGGCAGGATTTCCTTCTCTTGTATGGCTGGATAATATTCCATTGCATATATATACCACATTTTCTTTATCCATTCATCCATCAATGGACACTTAGGTTATTTCCATTGTAAATAATGCTGCAATGAACACAGGGGTGCAGATATCTTTTCAAGATAGTGATTTCAGGGCCAGCCCCGTGGCTTAGCGGTTAAGTGCACGCGCTCCGATGCTGGCGGCCGGGGTTCGGATCCCAGGCGCGCACCGACGCACCGCTTCTCAGGCCATGCTGAGGCCATGTCCCGTGTACAGCAGCTAGAAGGATGTGCAACCATGACATACAACTATCTACTGGGGCTTTGGGGGAAAAATAAATTTAAAAAAATTAAAAATAAATGTTTAAAAAAGATAGTGATTTCATTTCCTTTGGATAAATACCCAGAAGCAGGATTGCTGGATCATATGGTACCTCTATTTTTAATTTTTTGAGGAATCTCCATACTGTCTTCCAATTGGCTACACCAGTTTACATTCCCATCAACAGTGCACAAGCATTCCCTTTTCTCCACATCCTTGCCAAAACTTGTTATTTCTTATCTTTTTTATGATAGCCATTCTAACAGGTATGAGTGGATTACTGGTTTAATGTTTTTACATCCCCTTACACATATGTTTACCTCACGTGTCAGACAGATTCCAAGTTCCTGGAGAGCAGGGACTAGGTCTAACAAGTTAGGTACTTAAAGACTGATAAAGACATCAATCAGGTCTAAATGCTAGCTGGGCAGGCCATTCTTTTTAGCAAGATACCATAATGAACTCAAGTCACCCACTGATGCCTAGAACAGCACAATCCAACAGAACTTTCTGTGGTTATGGAAATGGTCCACATCTGCGCTATCCAACACAGTAGCCAATACCACATGTGGCTACTGAACACTTGAAATGTGGCTAGTGCAACTGAGGAGTTGAACTTCTAATTGTATTTAATTTTAATTAATCTCAATTTAGTTAGCCACTTGTGGCTAGTGCCTCCCCTATTGGACAGCACAACTCTAGAGCTTTCTAAATCTGCCAAATCTGTCCCACAGGGCTTGGAGCACTTAAACTTAGAAGCCCTTCAAAACTGGATTGATTAAATAAGATGAAACACCAGAAAGAGAAGATGACAAATAGAGTCTCCATCAGCTCATCAACAAGTGAGAGAGCAGTAACCTGGGCATGCCTCCATAGGACTTGGATTTGGAATTCTTCATAAAGCAGTAGATTTGCCTTCTGTACTTGGCTTAGGCAAATATTAAAATGAGGGTTTCTTCTATATCTCCCTGGCCTGGCCCCTACCTGTCTTTCCAGCCTCCTTCTGATCTTCTCCCCTACAAAGCCTCTTCTGCTATCTGTTGAACCACTCTATTCATTCCCTCCCACAATATGTGAAGGCTTAGATGTTCTAGAAGATGTGCCTTTTATCTGGCCCACTGCCAGAGATTTAACAGCCTGCCCGACAAATTCAAGAATGTAAATCCTACTGCTCTCAGGCCTGTTTAGTATCACCTTCTCCATGAAGCTGAAGGTGATCCTTCTATAGCTCTTGAAATACTTATCATCTTTAAGAGTCCTATGAAACTTCATTCATTCATTCACATTTATTCAGTACATTTTACTGAGCACCAACAACATGCCAGGTACAGTTCCAGGCTGTAAGATACATCAGTGAGCAAAACAGACAAAAACCTGCCCTCAAAGACCTTTCATTTTAGGAGGGGAGATGGATAATAAACTATGTTAATACATACTATTAGAAGCTGATAAAAGTGCTATAGAAGAAAAAAGCAAGGAACAAGGATTAGAGTGCCCAGGGGAGGGAGTGGGCAGAAGGGTTGCAATTTTAAATACTATGGTCAAAGAAGGATGAAGAAAATGGTATTTAAGCAAAGACTTGAAGGAGATAAGGGTATCTGGGGAAGAGCATTACACACAGAAGAACTAGCAAGTGCCAAGGCCTTGGGTGTTCAAGGAGGCAAGTATTACTGGAGCAGAATGAGCAAGGGGAAGAGTAGTAAGACGTGAGGTCAGAGACACAAAAAGGGGATCAGAGAACGTAGGATTCTGTAGGCTATTACAAGAGGTCTGCTTGTACTGAGTGAGATGGGAAGCCACTGGAGGGTTTTGACCAGAAGACAAGATCTGACATTTTAACAGGATCACGCTGGCTGTTCTTGGTTACAGACTGTAGGAAGGCAACGGTAGAGGCAGGACAACCAGCCGGGAGGCTATTGCAATAATCCAGGTGAGAGATGATGGCGACTTGGACCAAGATGGTGGCAGAGGAGGTAGTAAGAAGTACTTGGATTCTGAAAAAAATGTTGATGGTTGCATCTCCTGAAGGATACAGATATGAATATGAGAGAAACAAAGGTTTCTCTCCGGCTTGAGTAGCTGGAGGGATTGTGTTCCTATCTACTGAGATGGGGGATATTTGCAAACCAGCTACAGCATCTCCAATAATCTAGAAAGACATTTCCACATGGCTCTCATACCAGTCTCTTGAGATCAACATGTCCCAAACCTGCTCCTCCTTCTGTTGTATGAGTATTTGGTATAACATTCTTGCAACTTTCCTGTAGCTTTAACATTTTTCAAAATAAAAAGTGGGGGGGGGGAACGACAACTATCAGTGAGTCCCTTCTCCACCCCAACACATATGCACTCAGTAAACAAGTACTATTGCCTCTACTACAACATATGTTTGATATTGTCCCTGCCTTCCTGTTATCACTGTTAATGTCCTAAAGTCAGATCCTAATCACCTCTCACCTCACTAAACAAATCAGATTCTCTTCCTTAATATAGAATGCTCAGCTGCTAGCCTCCTGTTAAGGAAAGCTAACATACCTCAGTATCTGCCAAACAAAATCTGAACTCTTTGGCCTGCGTTCACTGTCCACAATCTTACTCCACTCCCCCTTTACAGTCTCATCCTCTTTCACATCTTCTCCATGGTCCAGTTAATCTGAACTGTTTCCTGACCATTTATATCCCCAGGCATTTCCTTCTTCCTCCACCTCGAACAGCCTCCCTTCCAACTTCACCTATCAAAATCCTATTCACCCTTCAAGGTCCAGCTCAAAGGCTGAAACCTTTCCTTCCTGAAACCTAACCCTGCTCCAATCTCCAGCTGGAAAGGATCTGTTTCCTTTGAATCTCTAAGGCATACAGTTCCTGCCTCCCTCATGGCACTTTACCGCATTGTCTTCGGGCCTCTCCTAAGAAATATTTTTAGTTGTGTGTGTGCGTTCTCTTCAATTTATATTGAAAGCATCTCTAGAGTAAACGATGTCTTCCATTTCTTTTTCTCCAACTCCAGTACTACATAAACAACTCTGCATACATTAGGTGCTTTAAAATGCTCCTGATTATTTCCCAGCAACCCATTAAAAGCAAGTTCTACTCCATCAATAGAAGAATCTATAAATCACTAAGGGTCCCAAATAAACCACTTATAAAAAGTCTTCAGGGCTGAGACTCAAATAGAATTCAGAGAGGTATATCTCCTCATGGGTCTGAGCCACTTACAGAAAAAATATCAAACACTTGGATCCAAACTCTGGTAGATGGCAGGACCCCCTGGAATGCCTCAGCAGACAGGGGCCAGTCTGAGACACAGCTGGAGAAGCCCAAGAAGAGAGCAGCTGCCTTCTAAATAACAGGCAAATAAAATGTGTCCCTGTAGATGAAGGTTTAAAAAAAAAGTTTCTTGACTGATCTGCTTCTAATTTAAACAGAGGAGGAAATCTATGCAGTTCTTCAAGTAGTTTAACCACAAAGCTGTGTGATCCCAAGTACATTTACTTCTAATAGCAGAAGAAATGAGCAATGCTGCCTGTACTGGGTCAAATAGTATCCCCAAAATTCATGTCCTCCTGGAAAATCAGAATGTGACCTTATTTGGAAATAGGATCTTTGCAGAGGAAATTAGTTAAGGTGAGATCATAAAGGATTAGGGTGGGCCCTACGTTCAATGACTGGTATCTTTAAGAGAAAAAAGAGAGGAAGATTCAGACACAGAAAGACACAGGGAAGAAGGCTATGTAATAATGGAGGCAGAGACTGGAGTGATGCAGCTACAAGGCAAGGAGCACCAAGGGTTGCTGGGAGCCACCAGAAGCTAGGAATAGTCAAAGAAGGATTCTGCCCTAGAGCCTTCAGAGGAAGCTTGGCCCTCTTGGACTGTGAGAGAATACAGTTGTTTTAAGCCATGCAGTTGTGGTAATTTGTTACAGCAGCCCTAGGAAACTAATAGACTTCCTATTTGAGCTAACCAATCAACAAACATATGTACTACCTACTATGTGCAAGATACTGGTAGAGGTATTCAAATAGTGCTTCAAAGCACAATTAGGAATGATAACCCCTACCTCAGTGAATTGGGGATGGCATCCTCAAAGAATGACATTGAGCTGAGTCTTGAACTTTGATCAAGATCAACAAGGTAAAGAGTATTCCAGACAAAAATCATAGCATATGCTAAGGCTCAGAAACATAAAAGGGAATACTAAGTTTCAGGAATAGTGAAAAAAGATTCAGTGTGACTGAAATGTATGCTCTGCATAGGCAGGAAGCAGGAGACATGGCAGAAAAATAGAGTAGAGCCAGATAATGAAGAGATATATAAGCCACACTCAGGATTTTGGGCTTCATTCTACAGGCAGAGAAGAATATGACCAACTTTGTTTCCAGGGAAGTTCATCTGGCAGCAGTAGGGAGGACAGCCCAGAGTGGGGGAAATGACCCACTCTGGGGGATATGTCAGAATGGGGATATGTCAACAATCCAAGAAAAATGTAACGGGCCTAAACTGAGGAAGTGGCAGTGACAGGCAACAGAATCAGGCCTTTCTGAAGAAAAACTGATAGGATTTGGTGGACTGAATATGGAGGAAAGGAGACTAGTAGAGGATGACTCCAGGTTTTCTAGCTTGGGAAAACCAGTTGCTAAAATTAACCAAGGTGTTCATTAGAAGGTAGGGAGGTGGGGGATGGCAGAAAAGGATGAGCTCAGAAGTGCACCTATGAACACCTAGTATTCAGGAGTCAGCTGGAAACAAGAGAAGCGTACAGTAGTAACTAAAGGCATCGAAGGAGATAGGATCACCCACAGGAGTAAGAAGAGAAGAGGGCTGAGAACAGTCTTGGGGAAAATCAACGTTTAAGAAACAGGTGGAGAAACAGGAATGGGAAAGGCCATGAGAAGGCAAGAGGCAGACCAGGAGAAAATGGTGCTTCCAAAATCAAAGAACAAGAGTTGCAAGGAAGAATGATCACATCAACAAAAAAATACTAGGGAGTCAAAAAAATTAGGGGTGAAAAAATGTGTCCAATGGATTCGTTAGTTAAGCCACTGGCAACTTGGATATAATCAGTTTTGATGGAGCAGAAGCAGTAACCTGCATTGAGAAGTGAATGGCGATTACAAAGACAATAGCAACTGGTGATGATTTTTTTTTAAAGAGGTATGACAGTGAAGAGAACAAAGACGATTGTACTCACTTCCCCCTGATGATCCATTAGCCACCAAGTCCTGCAGGTTTTCATGTGAATGTCTCTTACATCTGTTAGTTTCCTTCCTCACAGCACCTAGTCTGTTTCAGAAGCTTCATGGAGGAAGCTGTCCTGCACTCAGTCTCCAAGCATGGGACGCTGGAATGTGTGGGTTTGGATAGGCAGGGAATGGAAGGGACAGCAATGCATGTGAGAAAAAGGACACATAGGCACAACAGTGGGTAGTGCAAAGTGTCTTTGGCATTACCTTGTGCAGACACACCAGTCTTGCTGGGTTTGTCCTGGGGAACACTGAGGTAAGACTTTAAAGTTGGGTTGAGACCACACTGCAGAGGACCCTGAGTGCCAGGTATGGAATATGGACTGAATTGCAGTGGGCACTGTGAACTAATGAATAAATGAGTATTTTAGGAAAGTGAATATAGGCATCTGGCCTCTTAGAAAGACTAGCGTCAGGGAGCCTATGGTAAGGATCTATCTCCTCTCATCTAAAACCTGATTCCTTTCTTACTCGAAATTCTTTCAAGGCCAAACTCATGACTTTCTAAGGCTTCCAGGGCGAATACGCAGTCCATAGGGATCTCCTCTTATGAACTGCTACATTGTTTATTGTCCTGTAGCCTCTCATAGTTAAGTATTCCAACTCAACTCTAAGTTTGTGGGTGAGTAAGGGTTAGGTTTTCTTTCAACTTAATCTCAGCACCTCATAATAATAACTCAATAAATCTTGCTGAGTTAAAAATTAGCCTGAAAACATGATTAGAAGGCTAACTATGTAAAAGAAAATCCCCCCAAACATAAGCCATCTCAATGTCCATGATGTGGATTATCTAAACCTTTGTCCCCAATTAAATAATCCAAAGTCCATTTTTTTTAATGGCCAAACATACACCAGATAATAGTGGGATGACAGATTGAAATAAAAATGTTGATATTTATAGTTTAACCTCATTTCCCATCAGCAGGTGGCTGGCTTGTCCATGGTACTCCACAGGCAAGCCACCCTCTTGGAGTTTATACTTGGGTGGAAAATGTACCTTCCCTAAAGATGAAGGAGAGTTTCGGTGAAGTAAGGGGAGGAGCCCACTCTTTTCCTGGTACTTAGGGTATATGGGACACACTTTGCTGGGTTCATTCATTCATTGATTCACACAACATTTACTGAGCTTCTCCACAGGGCAGCAAGTTAGCAGGTGCTGGAACAACAGATCCTCAAGACTGTGTGCTGTGATAGTGCTGCTGCAGGTTTGCTCTGCACAGTCAGAGAGGAAACATTAGCTGTAGGCTTTATTTACATGTAATAGAGCTTCAGGTGAAAAAAAAATAATCAGTAGTCTTGCACCAGGACAATGCTAAGCGTAACATTAATCGTGTCCATCTGTTCTGGGGCTGCAGTTGGAAGGACAAAGTTAGACAAAGATAACCCAGCTAGGTCAACACCTCACCCTTGTTCTTTCGAGGCTCCTGCTAGGGGGATGGACACAGGGACTCCGAGGACATCTGCTCAGGCAGCTTCTCCATGGGCTGGGTCCAATCCCCGGTGCTGCGCCAAAGCCAAGATCTTCTCTAAAAGTTGTTCAGAACACGGCCCAAGGGACAGGCAGATACTTGAGGAAAGGATGGGAGAAGCGGACAGATATAGGGAAACGGTAGGTGAAGCTTTCCCAAGAGAAGCTCCCAACCCAGGAGAAGGTCCGAGCTTCATTCTCCTTCCAGGCAGGCGGGGCCCCACCGCGGGGAGCGGCCAGGCGGGCAGCACCGGAGGGCGGCCTGTGGCCCCGGCGCCCGGCCCGGTCACCCAGCAGGTTCCTGCGTCCCTACTCCACCCCCATGGGAGTGCCGTCGGCCCGAGTCGTCCGCTGCAGTCCGGGCTTCGCAACGCGGCGGCGCGGTCCCTCAACCCTCTCCCCACTCTACCCCCCGGGGTGGCCGAGCCTCGACACTCACTCATTCAGCCCGCTCGGCGCGCTCCGCAGGGTGGGCGGCCCCGGCCTCCATGGGGACGGCTGGAACCTCGGGTCCTCGGCGTGCACTTCCGGGTCCCTTTGGGCAGCTCGGAGGTCTAATTTTGATCGCGAGTTCTCTAGGGGCCGTTAAGGAGCTAGGTCCGGAGAGGCGTGGAGGTAGCGGGCCTCCTTCGTTGTTTGTCCTTCCCCAAGAAGGGATGGAGGGAAGATAGAACAGATTTCTCTATTTGCCCTTCATAGTCTAAGTGGACCTGAGACCTAAATTGGTTGTTTCCTTCTTCCTCATCCCACTGCCCCATGAGCACCCCTTTTGCCTCCTCCGCTCGACTCCTGCCTTTTTTACCACCCATTCCCACCTCTCTTCTTCATGATCGCAGGCCAGGCTGACCCTGCTGAGCCAGAACTCGTTATCTATGCCCTCAGTCCAGCCAGTCCTCCTCTCCCTGTGTCGCTTCAACCTAGCCCCTCCCAGTTTTGCCTGGAGTATATAAAGAAGCAGAAGGAACATATTGGTACCAATGGGCTGAAAGAGGAAGAAAAAGCCTTAGAGATGGGGTCAAGATCCAAACACCCTACTGCGCCTGGAGTACAGGCTTGCTAGAGGCATATTTGATTTGTTGATGCAGGAAAAACGGTTAAAGAAATGAGTTGTTCATGATAAGGGAAATTTGCTGCTAAACTCAGAAATAACAGCTATTAAGTGCTCCAATTTTGGAGCACTTAAATTGACATTATCTCATTAATCCTCACAAGAATCCTATGAAGTTGGTACTTTTTACTATCTTACATGCCAGAAGCTGCATAGTTAGTAAACAACTACAGGCAGCATTGGAACCCTGGTCCGTTCAAACCAGCGCCTGGCATCTAATCTCACCCAGTAAAGATAATGGAGGAACACTGGGTGGAGATTTGTAATATAAGCAACTGCAGAAAAGAAAAAAGACAGACGCTTGTAATTGTGCCCAAGTTGTAAATTTAAAACATGAATGAAATACAAATATAAGGGGCTAGCCATTTTCTAAAAGTGAAGAGAGTGGATGGGATGCGTCAGCAAAATAAAAAATCCCAGTATGTATTTTCTTGATTCATACAGGGCACCATCTGTTTGAAATCATTCTTACCGTCTTGGATTAAACATTGGTTCCCTTCATGCACTTGTATTTTGAAGGGAGTGTAAGGTGTGATGCCATATGATACAAATGTTAGAAAACAAGACAGATGTCACAGTTTGCTGACTCCAGTAGGGAATGCCTGTCAGGAGGCAGTTCCTACCACAGCCCAGGATGCCTGATTTCTCCAGTTATATTTAAGTTCTCCAATCCCAGGGTATCCCTCCCTGGACAACGCTAGTCCTGCACTGCTAAATGCTTGCTCATTAATTCCCCCTTCTTTAGATTTTATGCTAAACACCTCTCTTCTATTTTTACTTTTGTTTTTTTTTTTTTTTTGAGGAAGATTGGCTGAGTTAACATCTGTTGCCAATCTTCCTGTTTTTCTTTTTTCTCCCCAAAGCCCCAGTACATAGTTGCATATCCTAGTTGTAGGTCCTTCTAGTTCCTCTATGTGGGACGCCACCTCAGCATGGCTTGATGAGTAATGAGTAGGTCTGCACTCAGGATCCAAACCAGTGAACTCCGGGCTGCCTAAGTGGAATGCGCGAACTTACCTGCTAGGCCACCAGGCCAGCCCCCTTTACTGGTTTTTATATTAGTACTTATAACTTTCAGGCACTTACTATGACCAGTACCTTTTACATTATCTCATTTAATTTTCATGCTATTATTAACCATATTGTATAGACAAGAAAACTAGAGAGGCTAAGCAAAATTTCCACAGTCACACAGCACAGTAAACAGCAAAGTTGAAACATAGGTATGTCTAATTCCAAAGTCATTGCTTTGACAACTGCTCTGTTTTAGTCTTCTTTACTCAATGGATGGTTTACCTTATTTGATTAGGTTAACTGTTCCATTGGCTAGTGCTGAATATCATGGTGCCTGCCAATTGTATTACTCAGTGAACGAATGAAAGAATAGATGAGGTTACATTTTTAGATGTGGGAATTCCATGGTGCCTTGCTGACATGCCGGGGCCTCCTTTGAACTTCATTCTTCAACTCCCTCAATTACCCACAAACTATTTCTTAGAGTGAGGCATTTCTCCATAGAGCTCATTTATTACCTTGAAAATGCCATACTCTCAGGGCCAGCCCTGTGGCACAAGCGGTTAAGTGCGAGTGCTCTGCTTCAACGGCCCGGGGTTGGCAGGTTCGGATCTCTGGTGCGCACTGACACACTGCTTGTCAAGCCATGCTGTGGTGGCGTCCCATATAAAGTGGAGGAAGATGGGCGTGGACGCTGGCTCAGGACCAATCTTCCTCAGCACACACACACAAAAAGAGGATTGGCATCGGAAGTTAACTCAGGGCTAATCTTCTCACAAAAAAAAAAAAAAAGAGGAAAATGCCATACTCTCTCATCTGTAGGCCTTCTAACATGCTCTTTTGCCCAAAATACACTCCCTGCTCCTCTTGCAGTATTCCCCATCTCTCCAGTCTCTGTCCACTCTTTGGCTCAAGCCAAAAACCTAGGAATCAAACTTGATTTTCCCATTACCAGCTTTGCTCCACTACAATATAGCCAGAGGTAATAGTAAATCTTGGTAAGGATACATGTCCATCAGCAAGCTCTAGTTAGCAGAGCTAACTCATTTTGGGCACTGAGAAATGGAAATGTAAATCTACTGATGGGAGTGGCGGTGTCTCGGCAGGAAGTAGAAATTTGGGGACTTGACCTGTGGCCTGTAATTGTCAAAACTGTTTAAGCCTGTTTCAAGGAAGGTCCTCTGACTAGCTCCCAAAAGATACTGGGATAATTTTTCCTAGTATCCCAGAGAGCTCTGGGAGCACTTACAATCAGCTGCAAACTGATAATAGTGAATCACTGGGGCTATAACAGGGAATGAAGAGCTATCACAGAAAACTTCTCTGGGCTCTGGGATGTGTCTAATACCAACATCATGATGATGGAAAGCTTTGGAGTCAAATAGACCTGACTTTGAGCCATTAACTTGCTGTGTGACCCTAACAGGTTCTTGAACCTCTCAACACCTCAGTTCCTCTGTAAACCGGAGCTAGTTCCCTTGCAGAGTTGTTGAGGATTAAGTTTGAATATATACATACAGGTACACGTAGGTAGGTGGACAGATAAAAGATAGATAAAATTAGGTGTCCTGTAACTATTAGATTTCTTCTCTTCCCTCTCCAATCTTCAAGACTAAAAAGACCAAGAACACAAATTCATATTATATTAGACCAATTAAATATAAGCAAGCTTAAGTTAGTTGCCCTCAAGGATTATTTTGGTTTCTCATTTTTAAAAGTTTTATTTCTTTTATTAAAAAGACACATTCTGCCTAGTTCTACTGAAACCTCAAACTATTGCCTCTTATTTTATGTGCCAACAGCATCCCAATCGAACAACCCTTTAAATCTTAAACATTCGGACTTTGCTGCAGAGGTCTGCGGAAGAGCAAGCTTTGTATCAGTACGAAGGAGAGTGATCCACTCGTTGTGAAGCAGGTTTCTGGAAGGAACTCAGTTGCAGCCAAGAAGGTGATTCCCAGATTCCAAAGTGCGTCTGGCTGAGGCCTTCAGATTTTATTTGAAACAGATTCTCAGAGTATCAAACACACCTTTATTCAAGTGGAAGTACAAAAGCACATTCCTAAAACCAAATGCATACATGTGATTTTTACATATCTGTTATTTAGGGATTACTTAATCCTGTTCATAATCACTGGAGGTGACTATTGGTCTCTATATGTAAAAGTATACACATTCACAGATAGGAAAAATAAACATGCACTTTTTCATTTCCTTTTACATTTAAATCAATTCATTTAGATCCCTACCTTGCCCTGATGAGATCCTATGCTTGCTGATGGCTAAGAGGTAAAATATAGTGGTAGAACTATCCTAGAGGTTAGCCATAAGAGGCTTATACAGTGATCAATAAATTTTTACATTTGTTGAGGATCTCTAGTAAATATTATAACATCTGAACTATGAAGGCCTCAATTGCTGGAATGACAACTAGAATTTTAAATAACACTTGTCTTATTCACAAAATTATGAAGCTTAAGATGGAAAAATATAATAAAATGCTTTGACATCATCTACAGAACCATGAACTCTTGCTAGGGGTTATGATGGTGACCCTGAACTCTAAAGCCAACATTTGTGATCACCTTTATCAATCAAAAAAACCATGTTCTTTTATATGGCCTGTAGACTCTAGTAAAATACACACACAAAAATGTGATGATGAACACATAATTGTACACAAAGCCCCCACACTTTAAATACTGTCTGGATTGATGAGAAGAGACTGGGGGCAGAACTCCAAACAGGTAAAGAAGCAACTGTAGTGGTTAAAACTTTACCAGAAACCAACCTGCCACTCTCTTGAAATATGCTCTCTAGAGATATTCACAAGAACAGCAATATCTTTGTTGGAAGGCTGCATTTCCTTATGAAGCTCTCTTATTTTTCGGTATATTTTCTTTATGTTTTACCCTATCAAAAGCAGACCTGAGCATTTTGCTGGCCTTCAATGAAAGGACAGGCATACCTCATTTTATTGTGCTGCACAGCTACTGTGTTTTTTTACAAGACCCTCCAGCAGCAAACAGATTATGATTCACTGAAGGCTCAGATGATGGTTAGCATTTTTAGCAATAAAGTATTTTTAATTAATGTATATACATTGTTTTTTTAGACATAATGCTATTATGGCACACTTATGAGACTACAGTGTAGTGTAAACATAACTTTTATATGCCCTGGGAAACCAAAAAATTCATGTGACTTGTTTCATTGTGATTGATATTTGCTTTATTGCAGTGGTCTGGTACCAAACCCAAATGCCTCTGAGGTATGCCTGTACACAAAATTCTAAATTTAGACATGCAGAATAGGTGCTGAATGAATATAGCTAGGCCACCAGGAGTCTTGTTGGCTCCCTGATGTCTTTATCATCTCTTTTAGAGGGCTGTGGATGCACAAGCAGCTAAGAACTTGGGTGTCACTTGAAAATGTTTAGCTGCCTGCCATAAACTCAGGGGATACAGAATCCTTCATACTCATGAATGGATGGGATGTGGAAATCCAGTTCTTTTAAAGGAAGATGCTTCACTTCAGGAGACACCAGAACAGCAACATCAAGTAGGGATGGCATACCTGCTGGTGAAAAGCTTAAAACTAGGAAACCATCATTTGAAGGTGCTTAAAAGAATGCAGAAATCAACAGGAATCCAAGTGTCGTGGCTGGAAAGGAACAGAAGTAAGGTCCTCAGAAAAGAGCGGGCCTAAGAGTCTGTTTTGGAGAGAACTTGGGCTGAGAACAGCAGGAAAAAGCTAAATGAGCTACTTTCCAGAAGTTGATATGTTTTAACAACGGTGTATTAACAGTATCTTAGGGAAGCTGTGAACAATAAGAACCAATTTCAGGAAAAATAAAAATGCTTATAGGCCATATTAAAATAAAAATAGCTTAAATGAGTTCCATAAATAAAGTACACATACCTACTTACAACACCTATTATATTAAATAAAAGAATGCCATGAAAAACAAAACTGCATTCACCACGCCACTCCTCAGACTAGATTCTTCTGCAATGACAAAGATTGGGACTATATAGTAACGATTTCATATACAGATAATCAACAATTTTCTAATATTCTGACTTTGAGTAAAGCCTGAAATATGGCAGTAATTTTTCCATTTGCATTATATAAGATTCTCATTTGGTGCGGATATTCTGATGATGAAAAAGACTTGAACTCCAACTGAAAGACTGATCACATTTACTATACTCAAATGACTTCTCTTGGGTATGGATTCTTTGATGTTGAACAAGGATTGGAATATGACTGAATCTTCCCACATACATACACATTCATTACATTCATAGGCTTTCTGCATGGAACGAATTTGATGCTAAACAAGGCTGTTCCTTTGACTGAAGGCTTTCTCACATTCATTACAGTGATGGAATTTTATTCCAGTATGAATTCTCCAATGGTGACTAAGGTATGAAAATAGCATGAAGAATTTACCACATTCAATATATTTGTAGGTTTTCTCATTGGTATAGGATTGCAGGTGCTGATTAAGAGTTTAACACTGACTAATAGCTTTCCTACACTAGTCATATTCAGAAGGTTTCTCGCTGGTATGGACTCTCTGATGCTGAATGAAGGTTGAGCTATGACTGAAAGCTTTATCACATTCTGTACATACATGACTTCTCTCTGCTGTGAACTCTTACATGTTGAATGAGGCCTGAACCTGACTAAATGTCTTCCCACGTTCATTACATTCATAAGGGTTCTCTTTGGTATGAATTCTTTGATGTTGAACAAGATGTGCTCTCTGACTGAGGTTCGTTTCCCATGCATCACAATCAAAGGCTTTTTCTCCGGTGAGGACTTCTTGTTGCAGGACAAGATCTGAGCTACAATTGAAACTTTCCTCATAATCATTACACTCATAGGATTTCTCCTTCCTATGAATTTTGTGATGCTGAATAAGGCATGAGGTTTGACTGAAAGCTTTTCCACACTCATTACATTCATGTGGTTTCTCTCCTGTGTGAATTCTTTGATGCTGAATAAGATGAGAATTCAATCTGAAGTCTTTTCCACATTCATTACATGTATACGGCTTTTCTCTGAGATGAACTCCTTGATGTTTAACAAAGGTCAATCCACATTCACTGTATTCATAGGATTTCTCTTCACAGTGGACCTTCTGATGTTCAACTAGGTATGAGGTATTATAGAAATCACTACCACATACAGTACACTTACAGGGCATCTCTCTGTGAATTCTCTGATGTTGAGTAAGGTGTACACTACGACTGAAGACTCTTTCACAATTGCTACATTTATAAGATTTTGCTCTAGTGTGAATCCTCCTATGCTTAATTATGTCCGAGCTCTGACTACAGGATTTATCAGATGCTTCACAGGATTTATCAGATGCTTCACATTTATAGGGTTTTTCTCTAGTGTGTATTCTTTTATGTCGACTAAGACTTGAGCTCTGACTGAATGATTTTTCACATTCTTTACATTTGTAGGGTTTCTCTCTAGTATGAATTCTCTGATGTCTAGAAAGGGCTGAGCTCTGATGGAAGATTTTCTCACATGCATCACATTTATAGGATTTCTCAGTGGTAGGACTACTCTCACATTTACTAAGGTGGGAGAGATCCATTAAGCTTTCCTTATATTCACTACTCTGAAAATCCTGTGTTAGATTTATTTGTTCATGTTTACCAGCAGCTGAATTCCGGTTGAGGCTCATGTTATACTTATCAATGTCATCAATATTCTGTATTCTAAGAACTCTCTGATCTATATCAAGGGTTGAGTCCAGACTGAAGCTTTTTTCAGGTTCATTACAGTCATTGTTCTTCTCACTGGTGAAGGTTTTCTTGCTGATTGTTATTTGCCTAAACTCTCTCTCCAGGAAGAGAAATTTCCTTAGGATTTCCTGAAGCCTTTCTAATCTGTCCTCAGGTTTATACACTTCTCTAGTCTCAGGAACTTGGGAAATATCCTTTTTGAGTCTTCCTACTCTCACTTTGTATGAATGTACTTCTTCCGAAATTTTCTGCTTAGGAATCAACAGCTTGTTCTCTTCTCTGGTCTCTCCATCTGATTCAATATATAAATAGAAAATGCACATGTAATCTGTACCCTGTGCTTAGAAAAAGAAAACTCAGAGAGAAGAAAACAAATAATCTAGTATCTCCCAGGGTAAGAGAAGTTTATTTACTCTGAAACACAAGCACAAAATCTCAACAGCATATGTAAGGGCACGAATATGAGCAGTGAGATAGAATCCAAATGGTTCAGGGTGTAGTAGAAACAGAGGGCATGCTCAGCAAAGTAAGAAGATAACCAATTAAGGTGTTTCAAAGGAGATAACAGGGAAACAGTTCAAAAGAATTATAGACGAGCAACTTGAATAGGGACCTAGCACAATTTGTGGGTGATAAGTGATTAAATAAATGCAAAGAGTTCATCAAAACTGAAGGGAAAAAGGAAAGAGCTCTCCATTCTGGGATACAGACAGAGCTTCCCATTCTGACTGCCAAAGCAGCTAGAACTTGGCTGGACAACCGGACTTTACTTCCCTACAATTTCCATCTGAATTGATTCTGCCTTACTCACCTGAGCAGTCATCTCTTAAGACTTCTCTATTCTTAGTTTCCAGATCAAAGACCTGTAGATCTTGTTCCAGCTGGGAGATTCCATCAGGCTTGGAAAATGGAAATCCTGCTCATAGAGAAGGAAACGGGATGTGGCAATTTATCCCCAGATACCACAATAGCCACTTTTTCTCTTAACTAATGGTTAATGGAGAGAGAAAGTAATTTCTTAGAAGACAATAGGAAGGCCTGGAGAGTGAGAAGGGCAAAGATTCTCTGCAAGGAGCTCATATTTGTGCTCCAGAAAGAGGTGTGTTAAGGGGCAAGTTGATGACTTTTGGGAGCAGAACTATTCATTTAAACATTACTCAGACAAGGGAATTTGTGCATGGGTGTGTACCTGTCTTCATGGGAATTATCATTATCACTCTTCATCTGTTGCCTATAGATCAATCCTTATATTAGACATGGTCTACAAGACCTGGTCAAAATGGAGGTCATCAAAATATAACTTTGCTAGACTGGAGAAAGGTGAATACTCAAAGCACCTGTTGTATAGTGAGCTAAACTGTAGCAACAGAATCAGTGAGGACGAAAAAATTTTCCAAGGACCAATCTCAAGAAACAATTCATTTCAGTGCACATGAGGAAACAAAGAATAATATGACACATCCTTACTCATTAGGAGTTTATACTCTTGTTTATTCAACAAACATTTATGGGGTGCCTCCTATATGCAAAGCAGGTAGGGAACAAAGAGCCCAAGCAGATAATGTCCATCCCCTCAAGGACCTTACATTCTAACTGCAGAGACAGATATAAACCACCATAATGATATAGTGAGGAAAGAGCATCTTCACATAAAATGGTCTTTCTCTGGCTTGCATAATGGACTGCTAGGATCTAAAAACTCTTTCAAAACAAAAGCAAGAGGTAGTCTGCTTCTGAGGGGGCAGAACTATTATAGTATCAGAGGGGCAGTTTTTATATGTGTTCAGAAAGCTTCCAGTACACAGACAAGGTCTAGCTCAAGCCCCTCATCTCCAAAGGCCTTTCTCTCTACTAACTGAATGTCTACAATATTATTTGTTCCTCTTATCCTGACATGTCACTACATAATGAAGTTTATAGATTTCTTTTAATTGGTTTCAGGTACTATCATCCCTACTTGATGCATAAACTCTTTGCTAGTAGGGACCATGTATCTTGTATCTTGCAGTTCTTTTGATTCATTTACTTCAGAGCTATTCATTGAGTGCCAATTTTGCACCCAAGTATCAACATATAACAGATAACCAATGTTTTTAAAAGGGCATTGGGCCTGGAAAATATGATAAACCAACATAATCCCTCTTGGGATTCCGTGTGAGTCTATAAGCACGGAGATCAGAACAGACATAAGAAAGGCATTTACTGTGTTTCTGAATTCCTGCTGGGCATTAACAGTCAATTCTCCTTTTGGACACTTACTTAGTTAAGGTTCTTCATGTCAAATGAAATAGTCTTGCAAGTTTAAAAAAAAGTTAACGTGGCATGAAGCAGCAACTACTCTGCTCAGAATTCTGGTGACATAATTTGCAACTTTCAACCTTCAGATATTTATTAAAGTGTTTCTAAGTATTTGATAATTGAAACAAATTTTGGTTATTTACTCTGTATCTATACTTAAATCACACAGGCACAACAAAAAAGATCATCTTCATGTGGGATGCTGGGTTTGATTTTAGACTTGTGTTTAAGGTAATGTAGGAAGGTATAAGAGAAAAAGCCTAGCAGATAGTTAGAGATACAAGACTGCAGTTTAGAAAAGAGAACAGAATTCCAGATATAGACTTAAAGTCACTTGTATCATCAGTATCAAAATATTAAGCTAAGGTTTACTAAGCATTTGGTAGGTACAAAGTACCATGCCAAGAGCTTTACAAGCTTTCACTCAATATTCACCATAACTTTATGAGGTAGGAATTATTACTGTACCCATTTTACAGACGGGAAAACTAAGATTCAGAGAGTTTAAGTAACTTGCCCAAGGTCATAATAACTGATGAAGCTAGGGCTCAAACCCAGATAGTCCTATTTCAGAACCTGGTTTACCTGGCTTTTAAATAATCTACTAGTAAAAAATAATGATTGTGAATGAAATCCATCCCTTCCTCCAAAATAGGTACAGAAAGAGAACAGAAGACCAACATTTTGACAATGGAGTAAAAGGTAAAAATAAGAAGAACAGAGAAATAGTGATTAGAATCAACAATACATGGACAGCCAGGATCCAACAGATTTGGAGTCATGGATGTTTTAATTAGAAAGGATCTAAAGATCACTTAGTGTCAAAGAAATGAAAAATCTCTCTATAATAAAGATCCAAATCCCTAGGCAATGGTCTGAGCAATATTCAATTTGAGGAATATCCCACTTTTTATAAAGAAATAATTTGAACACTCTCCTGAAATTTGTTTGTATTAAAAAATCTGGTCTATAGCTCATATCACTTTCTGTCCTTTCCAAAGAAATATTTAAGTGACTACCACAAGCCAGGTACTTATATACATAATCTAATTTAATCCTTGGCACTACCCAGAAAGGTAAACATTATTTTTCACGTTTTATAGATGAAGAAAATGAATGTCAGTTGAAATAATTTGCTCAATGTATCACAGCTGGTAAGTGGAACCCAAGTCTGACTCCACAGTTTATATTCTTTCCAGTCTATCACACTAAGGGTCACAGAAAGCATTAAGGCAGGTTTTCTTGCCTTTGGCCTGAATGCCTTTTTCCTAAATTTAAGCCAAAACTCTATGTTTTCAAAATATGCATTTGCTTTAAATTTTTCCTATCCAAAATTACTTAATTTTTTATTAAAACCTTTTAATTTTATTTAAACCTTGATAGTTTTCTAACTACATTTATTTTTTAACTTCATCTGGTGTTTAGAAATAACATTTAAAATTTACCTCATTATTTGGTTTGTTGCCTATACCAAAGTTGTGCTAAGATTTTAGCCACCTAGAAGCATCATGCCTTTTTTCCTGGTCCTTAATAAATAAACAGATAAAATCTCTCCTTAGCAACATCATCCTTGTGTAGATACCTATTACAACGGACTGTATCCCTAGACAATTTTACTTCGTCTTGAATGCATGTCCTTTCTGCTCCAAAACTGTACAACCTTATGCCTGTCTGTCCAATTTATCGTGGCTATTTTTAATTGTCATCAGAGTACAGAGCCATAAAAATGTAAAAAAAACACCATAGGCGGTTAGACTAATTGTCCTAAGGCATAAAGTAGTGAAAAAGATCCTGGGCTTCTGATTCCCAAGCCTACCTCTAATTCTGAGTGGATCACTTAACTTCTCTGAGCCTCAGTTTCCTCAGGTATAAAATAGAATAATACCTGCTCACCAGGTTATGGTAAGGATTAAACGAGATACATATAGTACCTAGTAACATATTGGCTGCTCAATAAATAGTAATTAGCTGTGGTAGCAAAAGATATTCTATAGAAAATCACTTTTGTCCTCATGACATCAACTTCAAAAAGCAACAGATATGTACCAAACACTCCTGATTTATCAACTCACTTATCACCAACTAGAATTTTGATAAGCATGTTTCTAATGCTGTCATCTAATAGGGCACCTGCCACACTGCCCCATGTGAAATGTAATCCAGGCCTCTTTCCTGGTCTCAATCTCCAGCACCGTCACAGATAACTTCCCTTTGGGTATAACCCTCAAGCCAGTAATTCACTCATTGTCAACAGAATATGCTTCTTTTAGATTGGGTAATGAAAATTATGATTTTTTATCTACTTTTTTACTCTTTTACTCAGCTGTTCATATTCTGCGCATTTACTACTATACAGTGGAAGCACTTAACCAGAGGACCAAAGTTCTGATATCTGTGACAAATACAACTCAGAGCTACTGCCATGGGAAAAAGATGTAATTGGAAAGTGGGGCTGCTAAGTCAGAGACTGAACTATAAAGTCCTTATTTTACAACACTAAACATTAAGCTAAGTTAATTAAGTGTAGAAACTTAAATTTCAGCGGGAGTTTGCTGAACACGCAAATGTGAAAATGACTTTCTAAAGGCTGTAAAAATTAATTACTAAGAAGATGCTGCTGACTTGGTCACAAAAGCAAGTCGAGTAGGAGGATTTCTTGTATGCACCTGTGCCTGGTAGGTGTGAGTGTGCATGTGTGTCCTTTGTGTGTACAGAGATGACAGAGGAAATGGGATAAAATTCAGTCTAACAGCATGCTGTGCTATTAGGCTGATTAAACTGCTAAGAAGTTTCTTTACTCCAAAAAGTAGACAGGATAACTGTTGGAAATTATGTAATTATTAGATAAAATTAACAGTAGTTTACAATTACATATCACTTTACAGTTTACAAAGTTGTTAAATATACATTCAATTTGATACCCTGAAATAAAGAAATTAAACTCTTTTGCCCTCCCATTTCCCCTCCATCGAGGACAGAGCTAACGAAAACTTGATCAGGAAAGGTCATATAAATGCATCAATCTGTATAGCACCACAAAGAATAAAGGGGATGAAAGTAGGACCTTGGAGGGGGCCACAGGGACTCAGAAGGAGAAGACTAGAATGTTAAATATGAGGAAAGCCCAGGGGTCACAGGAGAAGTAGGCAACACAAGGGGCAGGTCATGTTCACTATAGAAAAGGAGTGGCGCACAGCATATGTTTCACATTCTAAAATAACATGAAAAGATCATAACTGAAGAGCTGGAGTTGAACTTGGTGGTTTCTCAGAACACAGGTAGGTGACTACCAACCATGGCTTCTGAATGAACTCAGAACTCAAGGTTCAAAGTGCATCCGGTTGCAATGGAGGGTTTCCTTGGCCCTTTAGAAATTTAACAAAGGTCATTTGAGGAGCTGCAATTTTACACAGTGGTGGCATCCTGAGCATCTATTCCATCAATCAAGTGTAAAATCTCACAATCGTGGAAAAGGAGTTTCCGAGCAGGGACGAGCAATATCGATGGGAAGCCGATACTTGGGCCATCTCTTGGAGATTCCTGCTGAAAGGACTGCAAGTGTTTCTCCAGAGAAAGCACTTGCCTGGGTATGACTCAGGGCCGGGCAGGAATTCACACTATGAATCCGGGAGGTGGGAAGGCGGAGAAGTATGCCTACAAAGATCAAAGAACCAGGAATGGAAAACACACTAAAAACCTTCCCAGTGGGCAGGCTGCCTCCCCACAGATAAGAAGACCTCTTTAATCTTGAGTGTAATCAAGGAGACAAAGCAACACCCTGGATGCCACCAGCATAGGCAAAGCAAAAAAAAAGAGAGAAAAAAAAAGTGTGATTAAATCCATACATACGTAAAAAGAAAAGAGCAGAGATGGGCAAAAAAAAGAGGAAAAGGAGCAATGTTCACATCAAGTGGGCTGCCAACAACTCGAACTGATGCTTCTCTACAGCACTACAGTTCGCCTAATCTCAATGCCTACTGTCCCATCCAAATGACAAAGGGGAGACTGGGTTTAAGTCAGATTTCTGCTACTCCAGGTGAGGTTACTTAGCATGACCATCTGGGTAACTCACTGAAAAGTACTCGCAATGAGTCATGCCTTTAAACGAAGTCTCTCAAATTCTGCCTGCTTGGAGATGAATTTAGGGATCTTAAGAGGTGACAGATTATTCAACAAGAAGGATTTTAGCCTACCTTAAAAAAAGGCACTTCTTCTGAAGAAAATGGGACACTCTCAGATACAGGGGCACTGAACTACCAGACAGGAAAGCATCTGGTTGTGGGTTGGGAGGCCCCAGAGTCTCTCTCATAAAAAAGGAAAAGGTAGGGAAGATGAGGACTGAGGCAAAGCACAAGCAAGTTTCTCTTTTCAGACAGGCCACAGATGCCCCACAAAAGCAGGAAACATTAACTGAGGATAAGGAGTAGAATGTATCATCTTGAAACCCCCAAAGGAAACCCACTCCCAGGGGAGACGCCCTTAAAGATGGAGGATTTGGAGGCTCTAAGACCTGGAATCTGAGCCACACTCTACTTTCTCAGAGACCTGACACCTACTCAGAAACAAGGAAGTAAAGAAATCCTAACAGGTAAACTGAATAACAAGAAAGACAGTCCTTACCCAGTGAGACCACGTTCCCATAATTCTCTAACATCACTTCTCTGTAGAGATCCCTCTGAACAGGGTCCAGGCATCCCCATTCCTCTCGAGTAAGGTGCACAGCCACATCCTCGAATGTCACAAACTCCTGAAATAACACAGCCTGGCTGCTCTGGGGAATGAGGCCACTATAGCATCATGGCCAGACAATGAAGGAGATGATATAGAGAGGATTTCCAGTGTGTATTTATGTTGGGAAGAGGGAGAACAGATGAGAATCTAGGGAGTAAGTTCCATAAGTCTTTTAACAACTAATAAGTGCCCATCACAGCACCAGGAATAAAAAAGGAACAGTGTTTGCTGGTGGTGTTGGGGAGATGGGAAGGTGGTTTGTGTGAAGTCCAGGTTTCTGAAGAGGATCAGTTCCCAAACTGGGAACTTTTTTGAAAAAAATTCCAGGCAAGGATTATGGATGGGATGAGGGAAGGGCCACAATCAATCAGCAGCAATAGGCCCTGAGGAAAAGCAGAGGTTCCTCAGCTCACCTGGTACCTGGCTGTCAGGAGCGCAGCTGCCTGGTCTCCTGGGCTTCCCTCGTGGGGAAGAGCAGGCACCTGGGGAACAGGTGGAGCTGAGGGAGGAGAAAGGAGCCAAGAGTGAGAGCAGCCCTTCCCCAGGGCTCCCTTACAGAAGAGGGAGTCAGTGGGACCCTTCTGCACACCAACATTCCAGTAAAACCAATGAACACTTATCAGGTATTGAGTGTGTCTACTCTGCTCCTTCTCAGCACTTGGATGCTCTCCTTACACGTTTAGTCCCGTGATACAGGATTTTATTATGAAATTGCATAATCTCACTTCATCTCACATTTCACTTCATCCTCATGACGTGACATTCCTCTAACAGAAGGGTAAGTGCTACACCTGTTTTGCAGATGGGCAAAGCAAAGCATGAAGACTTGCAGTGACTTGTCTATCTAGCAGACTTCTGACCCTTCCCAGACACTGTTGTGTAAATTTCATCAAGCCTTTCTCTTGTGAATGGACACTGTCTCTGCAACCAGTATGTAGGCGTCCAAGAATAAGGAATGGTCATCTGTTTCCTCAAATCCTTTCCATACTCCCACAATGCCCCACAGCACTCTGCACCCTGTAGCACTCCGTCAGTGTTGCTGACACACAAGTTACTTCAGGAACTGCAGTTGGCCACAAATAACCTAAGACAAGGTTCTTACAACACAAGGGAAGTACAAGACAGATCAACCTATCTATATAGCATGTAAAAGTGTTACTGTATAGTTAATATGTGACATGTATACGTTCATACAGGCATTGTGCTCAACCAAGGAATTAAGTGGTTGTTTTCTGACTAAAATTAGATTAGTTACAAAACACTGCAGTTGTGATAGAATGGCAGGTGGCAAAGCACACAAGGTCACCAAGGAGGAAAGAAACTAAGTGAAGGGAACTTGGAGGGAGGAGGCCCTAAATCTAAGAGGAAGTGAAAATGAGGCAAGGATTGTGAGATGCGGCAAAAGCAGCATATCTTAGAAATTATTCTGGATGTGGTAACTGGGATGAAGTGAAGGTTGTATAAATGAAAAACAGCCAAAGCAGAGTGACTACCACTCTGAATATTTAAGAACAACAGGCTGTCCCTAACAGAGGGGCCCAGACCAAGCCTGAACTAGGTCACATCTCTCCCTCCCTTCCAGACCTCCCTCTAGGGGCCACCTTCTTACTGAAGTTCCTGGCCTCTCACACCAGGTCCAGAAGCCCCTCTACGCTCCCAATCTCCTGGATGTAAGTGCTGTCTCTGCCTTACCCCCAGTGAGTCCCTGTTCCATGTCGGTGTCCTGCACGAATAGAGGCTCTGGGGACAGATCCTCAGGCTGGGTCTCCAAAGACTGAAACTGGGCCCCTGGTGATCCTGCTGCTTCCTGGGCCGAAATTTCCTCCATGCCTGTTCTGGAGGACAATGACCATCACTGTGGGGTAAGATTAGGAGAAATTATTGCAGTAAAACAGCCCACCATTTTATACCCTCAGGACTTAGCAAAGTATCTTACACATTGTAGACACTCAAAAAAAAGATAGCTGATAATGATTAACCACCCACATTAAACAACAGAAAGAAAAAGGGATATTATTCAGTTTCAAATATTTAAGACCCAAATCATATGGTCCAAGTATGCAGATTTGTTTGAACTCTGCTAATTCAGAATTTGTGGTATTTCAAAAACAAAAACAAAAACCCAAGACAGTACAATTTAATAGTGTAAAGATTTCTGTGGAAAATTTAAAATATTTGGAATTACGAACTTCTTTCAAGGCTCAAATTCATACCCTGAGAAACACGCTAGTTATGATTCCTCATCATTTTTTAAAAAGCAGGCCCCTTAGGAATTACTTGGTAACACTGTCAGCCCACCCTGAATTACTGAAGGGGCTTGACTGACAGAACCCCACTTTGGGGAGAGACCTTCGCTACCCCAGACCAGGTGGGCAGGCCTTTTCTCAGAACCCTGACAGTAACCCGGGGAAGAGCCGCGATTCCAACAGATTTTCACTGGCGTCCTTCAAACCCAAGGACGCGACAGGGTTCCGTCCCCTTCCGCCACCCTCAGACAGGGCCCCGCGCCCGCTCCTCAGAGGCCGCGCCCGGCGCTGCCCTCCTCCCACTTTCCTGCGAGCTGACGACGCGGCCCCACAAGGGCGAGGCGGGCCACAGCGACCCAGCTCACCCCAGGGCACGGTCACCGGGTCCTCAGGCGGGGCCCTCAGTCCGTGGGGCGTCGGGGCGAAAGCGGGCTGAGGAGAAACAGGCCCGCACACCCCGGCCCCCGCGCGCTCCTGGGGACGGAAGCCGCCGTCGCCGGAGGCCGGGCGCCTCCTCCCGCTCCCGGGAGGCGAAGCAAGGCGCTGGCCCCACCGCGACCCCAGAACGGCTTCCGGGGACTCACCCGAGCGGAGGGGCGGGCCAGTCGGCCTTCCCGTCCCGGACACCCCCGCTCGCAGGGGCGCCCCAGCCTTTCAGGGGTCGCTCTAGACCGCTTGGAGGCCGGCGCTTCTCGGTGGTACTTCCGGAGGCGGAGTCTGACGGACGGGGGGCGGGCCCCGGATGAGGGCTGGGAGCTGCGGAAGCTCGTTTGCGTGGCTCTTCCACGTCGTTGTCCCGGCTTACGCCTCCTCGGTGATAAGCCCAGTGGGCGCCTCTGCAGCCGGAAGAGCGATGATGACGGCGACAGCTCCGGACTTGGGAAAGCGCCCCTGCTGGCCCTTCCCTGGCGCCAGCCGACCCTCGAGACTGCCCGCGGGGTGGTGCCAGCCCAAGTGGGTGCGTGTCGGTGGTGACGGGGAATGGCAGACCTAGTGGTCCGACTTCCATGAGTCGGCCGGTCGGGAACTAGCGCAGGGGTACAGAATACACTGATTAAGGCGCTTCCGTGATATGAGGACCACAGGAAGTCGTGGGATCGGAATCTAAGGTTCTTGGGGCAAGGAGGGAACACTGAGCAAGTTGGAGTGGAAGAGAGAAACTGAGCGTGGAAGAGAGCTGCGTTCCTGGTGGGAAGAGTGGACTGTGCAGAAATGGGGCTAAAGCACGGAGCACAGGGACAGCAGGCGGAGCTAGAACAGGAGCTCCTAGGGCATTATGACCTCCGGGATCCTTACAGAATGTGATGTCTTGTGGTGGAACTAGATCTGCAAGGGACAGGCAAGTCTCTTAAAAAATCAAAAAAGTGATTTGGAAGGGACTTTAGATATTACTCCTTTGTTTAAGCTCGCGAATCAAATGTTAGCCTTTAATGACATTTGACATTCCAAATTAAATATAAAAAAAGTCAAAGTGTAGCATTCTGTATGCTTACTTAAACTACATCAGTCCCTTGGAGATTCTGATATGCCTTCTTTCTTTCTTTCTTTCCTCTTTGAGTATCATAGATGTAATGCAAATTCCTACTGTGACACAATCTCTCTAGTCTACAGTATCCCGGTCACAATGGAGTCAGCATCAGAGATAGAAAATGCACTGCTTAGTCCATCTCTTGCGGGACAGCTCCAGTTAGAAACTTCTTGTGTTGAATGGAAATATACCCCCTGGGGGTGTGTATCTCCTGTTTCTGTTGAGGTTCCTGGGACAACAGTTGACACATTACTTCCTCCTTTTCATAACAGCTCTCCTAAAGTCTAGGATGGCTATAGGTTTGGAGTTCTTGCCTGAGTTGCCATTTCCCCACAGGTTGTACTTATTACTAGAGTGGTGGGAAACCACTTCTGCCCCAGAGGTGAGCAGACTATGGCAGTGGTGCCTTTGTGTCTAAGTTTTAGCTGACTCAGGCAGTTTGCTCCAGGAGAGGACTACAGGAGGCACCCATTTAAGAGTACATGTCCCACCAATAGGCATCAGTCCCTAACAAAGTGGTGAGAAACAGTAGCTATTATTTTGCTTTTGAGCAAAGTTTTCTTTCAGTGGTTCTTCAGATGACACACATGGAAACAGTTAACCAACTCATAAAATTTGTGGCTTTTAGCTTAAAGTATTTGCTTTAAAGAAAATGTGTAAGCAGATATTCCCAAGGGATTGAGCACTTCGTTCATCTCTCCCATATGCCCACCATTGCACTAGGCGTGGATAGATACAAAAGAAGTAAAATATCACACCAGAATTGGTACATGCCCTGAATACGGGTTTGTCTTCCCTGACTGCTTTGCCTCCACCAGCACTATCATCTGAGGGCTTACAGGAGCCTTATCCATTGGACATACCTTAAACCAAGGAACCCATTTTATAGTCAAGGATGTGTGACAATGAGCTTGTAACCATAGAATTCATGGTGCTTACTCATCACCCAAAAGCAGCTAGCCTGATAGAACTGTGGGATGGCATATGAAAGACTCAGCAGAATTGCTGATACAAGATACAGCACCTTGCAAAGTTGGAGAGATGTCCTCCAGGATACAGTATATGTATTGAACCAGTAATGTACATATGTATGGTATTGTGTCTCCAATAGAAAGGCTACACGGGTACAGAAACCAAGGGATCAAAACAGGAGTGACCCTTATTACTATCATACCTGGGAACCCACTTGTGGAATTTATGCTTCCTATCTCCAAACCTAGAGTCTGCTGGGTTATGGTCCTGATTCTCCAGAAGAACATTTCTTCTAGGAGGTACATTAAGTGTCCCACTAAAGTGGAAACTGAGAATAACACCAGGCCCCTTTGAGTTCTTTGTGCCAGGAGATCAGTAGGCAAAGAATGGAGTTATTATAAAGGCCCCCACAGTCCCTGCCACACACACTACATAAGTACAAAAACCTATACCCAGCCAGCTGCATTCAATAACCTACCTTACTGGACCCTTTAGGCACTTTAATGAAGAAATGGGGTAGGCTAGAGAGGAGAAAGCTGGTTTAAACAAAGAAGAAAAATACGATGCAATGGTTCTTAGAGATGACTTGGAATGCTAGAAGGAAATATGAGGAAGTATCTGGAGGAAGAAGTTCTGGGAATATGATATCCTCAAGGAGGGTCATAGGTTAGCAGGCCAGCCAGTGATGAAGGAGCAAAGTGAATTACTGAAAAGAGTGTGGGAAGTAGAAAAACAATGGCAACCACAGCACGGTCAGCCCTCCATGGGAACGGAACATTCAGGGCTTGGAAGGTTATTCAGAATATCACAGTATCATTGGTAGCCTCTGTAACAGGTGGCAGTTCCTTTTGTGGGCTTTTCCATTGTGCTCAAACTTATCTTGGAACTTAGAGTCATGTCACAGTCATTCAAGGTCTCAGTTATGTTTTGTAGAAGGTGAGGTCTCTGGACCTACTCATCAAGTAATAGTAAAAGCCATAATTATTGTGATAGCACTTTGACAGCAAAAATGCCTCAAATTCAACTTTCTATAGTAGTTCCACTCTTGTTACTCTGAAAACTCCCTGGAAACATTCAGCTAGCTCAGAATCTTATAAGTATCTACTATTGGAAAGAATATCTCTTGCCCATAGATCAAGTATTTGAAAATACTGCCCATTCAAGTGCCAGTATGTAATCAGGGTCCCTAGAGAAGCAGCCACTTCCGTTTTATGAAACCATTCACCCTTGACTTCACTTTGATCTTCCTCTGTCTACATCTTTGTTTCAGTTCCTCTGCCACAGACACAATCACTAAGTATTGTTTGAAAATAACAGGAATTATTGTGATTACTGCCATCAATAAGAAAAATAGGAGAAATATAAGTATCTGAGGAGGACGGTATAAAGGGAAACTTAACCCCCTTTTCCCGGACGGGAAAAGCTGAGCTGAGGCAAGGGGTCCCCGAAGCCCAACTCTCCGATTGGAGAACAAGGACGCAAAGTCCTCCCGCGTTCCTAGAGAGGCCCCCGAAGCACAGCACAGACTCGGATGACGGTTGTGACGCACTTCCGGCTTCTGTGCCGCTTTCTCTGGGGCCTGCCTGGAAGTCCAGTGTCCCTCGATTCCTAGGGTCACCTCCCTTTTCTATCCCAGCACCCCAGACTTCTCCGGGGTTCACGGTGAGACGTGGGTCCGGCCGGGGAGGACGGGAGGGGACAGAGGTGGATGTGTACGGCTGTGTTCCACGATCCCTCTCGCCACGACCGCCCCCGGGTGGGGTGGAGGAGGGTCGGTATCTCTGTCCTTCGTCCCAGCCTCGGCCATAGGATGTGCGTCTCCTGGCAGAGACAGCCCTGGATCCACGCGGGAAGGGAATGACGTTTTGGTTCCGCACTGGGATAAGATGCCTCTGCGTGCCCCACCTGGGCCCCCTCGTCCTGGGTTTTCATCCCCAGGCGTGGCGGACAAAATCACCCTAATCTAATTTCTGTGCTCCCCGGTTGTCCTCATTTCCTTTCCTTCCAGTAAGGGCTTTTTTTCTGGGTTCCTAGGGACCCCGGGGTGTAAAATGAAGACCCTAGAGGCTACCAAGCTCCACGGGTTTGTTTTCGTTTCGTTTTGTTTTTAGCGAACAAGATTATTAAGCCTCATAAATTTTTGCATATCATCTGTTCATCCCTAAACCCAGCTCCATTAGTGGTTGTGATTAAAGAATGTTTGAAACCTAGTGAATAAAGTGATTTGGATGCAGTAGGAAAAGATTATATACCCTTCACTCTTTTCCTATCAGTCTCCGAACTTTCTGAAAGCTTTTTAAAGGAGTAATTTCGTACGTTAGGTGGATTTTTCAGTTGTGGGAGACAACTGTGCCTGACTTGGAGCAGTAAGTAGTAAAGGGAGTTTGTGGTGGTGTGGTGGAAAGTGCATTGGGCCATTAGGAAACCAGTTACCAGCGTTCTATCTGTTGCTGATTAACAGGATGATCTTGGACAAAACACCACCAAGTCTCAAATTTGTCCTAGGTAAAATAAACTGGATTATGTGAAAGGGCCCTTCTGACTTGGAAATTCATTGATAGAGTGAATTTAACTGAAAAAATCCAGCTAGGTCAAACCTAATGCCTCATCTCCATTTCCTGCAGTGCCACCGGTATACAGAAAGGTACTTTCCTTATTGAGAGAGGCTGTTAAGTGGCAGAAGACCAAAAAAAACACTTATACAGGCCAGTGCTAAACAGATAATATGCAATCAATAAATAAATTGTGGAGGATACATTGTAAGCAGATCAATGAAACAATACTATTTATTGGAGAAGTGGGTTGGTTACACAGTGTAATGAGAGACACGTGAGTAACTTACCCA